GGTAATAGCAAGAAACAAAATGCAAACTAGAGAAGACGGGAGTTTATAGTGGTTCGGTCAATCGTGACCTACATCCACTCCTCTGATTCCTCTTCCGTCGAGGCCACCGGCATCCACTTTTATCTTCCTTAACTAGGTGAAGATCAACCTCCTTCTTACACCCCTCTTCTCCTTTTACCGGGTTTAGGAGACAACCCTTACAAGCACTCACTCTCCTCTTTAAACAGAATTCTAACACTTAGAATTTAGAGGAGGGAAATTCTAGAGATTACAGTAACATTTTCTCTCTTTTAATCTCTCTGTGTTTATGTGAATTAACCAGGGATGAGAGGGGTATTTATAGGCCCCAAACCAGTTTGAATTTGGAGCTCAAAACTATCATCTCCCGGAATTCCGGGGTCTGGCGGTTGCACTGCCTGACTGGAGCGGTACAACCGCCTGACATAGCTCGGAGACCGAGCTCTGGCGGTGCCACCGCTTGACAGCGGTGGTTGCACCGCCCAGTCTCGCTTAGAAATTGAGCCCAGGCAGTGCCACCGCCTGACTGGGGTGGTTGCACCGCCTAGCAGAGCTCGGAGACCAAGCTCAAACGGTTCCATCGCCTGTCAAGGGCGGTTGCACCGCCTAGCCTAGCTCGGAGACTGAACCCTGGGCGGTGTCACCTCCGACCCAAGCGGTGCCACCGTTGGCGAAGAAATCTGGGTCCGAATGGGCTGATCCATTCGGCCCAATTTAGGTCTGTCAAGAGCCCAATTGCCCCAAGATTAAGTTAATGGGATCACCTCCCATTTCTAACTTAATCATAGTACTAACTATGATATTTCTTAAGACATTTACTACAACTTGCTCCGGTGCATCAATCGCTTCTTCTGGCGAGCTTCCGACGAACATCCGACGAACTTTCATCGATCATCCGATGAACCCTCGGTGATGCTCCTACGGACTTCCGGCAAACTCCTGGACTTGCGATGATCCACTTGGCGAGTTCCAACAAGCTTCTTTTGGTAAGCTCCTGGACTTCTCGGATTTGTTCCCGCAGAACCTTCGACGACCGTTCGGACTTTCGTCGAACTCTCGAACTCCCAACGTGATCATAGTCTTGACTCTGGTGCAACTCCTACTGCATGTCTTACTTCCATCATAGTTAATCCTGCACATGTAAAACAAAACTTCGACCGAGACGATTAATCCTAAGCAATTAACCAAGTTGTCCGGCATGTCATTGGTCCCTCGAAGCTCCGTCTGATTCTTCGGCACATCGTCCTCTCCTGCGGCCTATTGCCCAATCGGCCAGTTGACTCTGCAACTCCGATATCCTTGGCACAATACCCGCTCTTCTTGGTTCGATGCCCGAGTCCACGGCCTGAAGACTTCTGTCGATACGTCGACCGATCCACCGGCCCGACGTCCAATCTTATGACATGTTCCTCCGGCACAACATGATTTTTCCTGCTTTAATTGTCTCATCCTGATCGAAGCATCCTACGTCACTCAAAACGCAAATTAAAACATAAACACATATCAAGTGGTTTTATCATCAAAATACAAGATTCAACAATCTCCCCCTTTTTGATGATGACAACCACTTGATGATGGAATGAAACTTAACTCCCGAAGTTTAAACAAACTCCCCCTATCAATATGCCATATTGATAGATCCTTGAATTCAAACTGAATTCAAGTCATTGCAATATTCATCATGAATTATTATGATATTTTTATACTTTATATTACTTATTAAATACATATATTGTGATGTTCATAGATCTGTGCAATGAGAATCAGATCATGATGAGATCACGATAATGAGATTGATTCACCTTTAAACACAGACCCTAAATAATCCCGGTCATAGGTTACTCGAGAAGGACATCGAGATAATCGGATAGACATGTATACTATATACCCATCCATATGATGGAGGCGGTTGATCTCATAGCTGCTCGTGTGGGGACATTAGGGATATAATATAGGTGCTCAAGGGAGAATGAGTTCATTGATTGGTCTACTTATAGAATGCTGGATAACTGATGATACCTTATTGTTAGACAGTGATTCCGTCATCCCAGTAGTGTATTTGGTCATTAGGTTTGAAACACTAAGGATGTCTTGTATAAGTACTCTACTCTTTGATACAAGACTTATAAGTATGAAAGTTCCAGATCTAGCATAGTTGCTCATCGAGAATGACAACCAATCTTACAAGGACTATTAAGTGTTGATAAAGGATCATTCGTTCTTGGTATCATAAGAGGAATATATAGGAAAATCTAGGGGTAACATCATATGCATAGTAGAAGAACAGAAAAACAAAAACCTCAAATTTTTTAAAAATGTATTCATCGTCGTGTGAAGATTGGTGCGCAAAACTTGCGAAACTTAAAACTATGCATGAGATTGTTATGTTATTTAGAGAGATCGTATATTCCTGAATCCCTATAGATCTGTAGGAGATGATGAAGGAGGTCAAGCGTCTTCCTTTCTAATGGTAATCCACATAGTAGGGCTACGATGACGCTCCTCAAATCGCTGCCTAAATCTCCACATCTACTATCCGAGGAGGAGAAGTGGAGAGGAGAATAGGAGGTGACAACTAAGAAACTTCTAGCCTATGGATGTTTGATTCCCTCCTATTTATATCATAAAAATTACATGCTAACTTAAGTATCAGATGGGTTGAGTTGAGAATCTCTCCCATTTCAACATCGACCTATCATGCTGGAACGCGGCACAAGTGAGACAACTCAAGTTCCTCCCCGAGCCGGCCACGAAGATGCAACAGAGGCCCAAGAGCCAATCCTTTGACCTGACCTCGTTCACCCATCCTTGCCTACGTCGACATTACACAACACGTACAAACCTTCACTGAGGTAGTCCCTTTTTCTCTGATCCCTTTTTTTCATAAATGGAAACTAGAGTGCGTACAAACATTCACTGATACCGCAAGTCTTCTTACTTTATTATCGAACAAACCAAACACTATTTATACATGAGGTAATCCATATAACGGAGTTACAATCATTAAAGCATGCATGACATGGAGTATTCAATCTTTATTGCCTTATACTAAGTAGCACAAGTTAATATTCCCGAGCGATGTCCACCCACTCCTGCTGCTGAAGCCAGTCCACGGTCGTCTTGCTAAGCTGCACGGCCTGGGAAAGAATGTAATAAGGAATTGGCGGCTTCGATCCGAACAGTGCATTGGCTATGGTGACGAGACCCGGGCTCTGGCTGCCAAAGGCAGCGAACGCCACCGCGTTAGTGTCCCCGAGATTGAACTGGAAGTGCATGAGGCCCTGGGGGAACACAAACGCATCGCCCGTGTTCAGCTTCTTAGCGATGAGAATGTTGCCCTTTTCGGTGTTGGACCTGACGAAGCCAGCGAAGAGCGTTCCTTCTGCAACATGCAGTATCTCGGATGAGTGTGGATGCGAGTGAGGAGGGTTGAGACCGAAGGGCGCGTAGTCGATGCGAGACATGGCCACTCCAAGGGTGTTGAGACCTGGGAGTCGGTTAACGTTGACCAGAGTGATGTTTGCGCCCAAATCGTTGTCGGTGTTTGCGACCTTGTCCAAGCCGGAGATGTAGAAGTCATCTGGTGTGACATTCGTGGGATCCTTGCAGGGGAATCCATTCACGAACACTGCAG